AACCCCTCCCAAGGAAGGCGCCCAGGAGGCATCCAAAACAGATGCCCGAGCCACCTCAGCTGGCTCCTCTCGATGTGGAGGAGCAGCGGTTCTACAATGCGTTCCTCCCGGGTGACCGAGCTCCTCACCCTATTTCTAAGGGTGCGCCTGGCCGCCCTGCGGAGAAAGCTCATTTCAGCCGCCTGTATCCAGGATCTTGCCCTTTCGGTCATGACCCAAAGTTCATGACCATAGGTGAGAGTCGGAACGTAGATTGACCAGTAAATCGAGAGCTTCGCCTTACAGCTCAGCTCCTTCTTCACCACGACGGATACAATACTTCTTCTTTTTAGTTTTTGATGACACTAATAATAATAACTTTAACAATGGTGATAACTTTATTTCTATAGCACTTTTCAAAACAGTAATTATAAACTGCTTCACAGAGCAATGGAAAACCGAAATATCTAAAAGAATAAAAACATTAAAATGGACACAAGATAAAAACACACAAAATAAAATCAACACAAGAAAAACATCCAAAGCTCTTGTAAAGTTGCTGTGTCTGTAAACCTGACATTTCAAAAAAATCATCAGGGTTTAGCTTTTAAGCAACAAATACTTCAGTCTGTGACCAAATGTAGCAATAATAAGTGAGAGCTACAAATCTACATGGTGGAAGCTTAAAGATGCCCTTAGCAAAGGGCCCCGGACCCCGTACTCCCGGCGCACCCCCCACAGGGCGCTGCGAGGGACACGGTCGAATGCCTTCTCCAGATCCACGAAACACATGTGGACTGGTTGGGCAAACTCCCATGAACCCTCCGCCACCCTGAAGAGGGTATAGAGCTGGTCCAGTGTTCCACGGCCAGGACGAAAACCGCATTGTTCCTCCTGAATCCGAGGTTCGACTATCAGTCGAATTCTCCTCTCCAGTACCCTGGCATAGACTTTCCGGGGGAGGCTGAGGAGTGTGATCCCCTATAGTTGGAACACACTCTCCGGTCCCCCTTCTTAAAAAGAGGGACCACCACCCCGGTCTGCCAGTCCAGAGGCACTGTCCCCGACCGCCATGCGACGTTGCAGAGGTGTGTCAACCAAGACAGCCCAACAACATCCAGAGACTTAAGGTACTCAGGGCGCATGTCTTCCGATGAGGAAGCAGAGGCTGTGATGTAATATAGTTTAGTCCATTATTGTCACGGAGTATTTCAGCAAAAACCCAGACCAGGGTCAACATCTTTTCTGTCGCTGAGGAAGCCTAACTGCACAATCCTGCAATGAAGCTTTAGAGATTTGTGGATATGCTTCTATTTTTTTTCTAAGTTGTTATTTAAAGGTGTTAGTCAAATTTATCTTATCTCATACATGTTCCACCCCACAGAGCAACATTACATCACACCTCAGCTCCTCATTCAGTCATCAGATATGACAAAGTGTAATAAGTGAAGCATTTATTAATGACAGTGTCAAAACAACTTTCTTTTGGCTCATGGTAGCAGTATGTAGGGTTTAGTGTTTCACAATTTATTTGTTCACGTTTATTTGTGCTTGTTTGCATAAGAAATTCAACATTAATTCTGAGTCTCTTCCTGTCTGTCTTGGGTAACCAGGATTGGTAAGCAGAGGTTGCAGCAACACAACTGTTACACAAATGTTTTACACACAAAAGGAGAAATCAAAAGCAAATGTAGATTTACAAGACGTGACAGAGGACAGTCATGGACAGCTTACACTTCACCTAAATATACTTGAATTTATACCCTCCCTCATAAACTGACCTCATTGTCTAAATTAAAGCTTTGTGTAGGAAGAAGTGAATCCCCTCTGACACCGAGTGAGTGTTATGATCCTGTTTGACATTACTGAGGAGAGAATGAACAAAGATGACAAAACCGCCCAGTCTGGGATCGGCGTGCTACATTTCTCAAATATTTTCCTAGCTGAGTCGATTACCCACATCTATTTAAGCGCATTTGTCTGCCATTCTCCCAACACAGCCTCGCTACTCTGCTCTCACATCTGAAACATGTCTTTCAGACACCGACAGCCTCTGTGGGAAATTAACAGAAGGCAAATGAAGGTTTAACTGCTCCGCCTAACCACTTATTACCAAAAGTTTGGAGATCAAATTTAATATTCAGTGTTGTGTCTAGGATTAAGAAGCAGTTCTTAACATGATCTGTTTCTTGGGGGGGGTAGGAAAATTGTACTACTCATGTGGTTCTGTGGATTTAAAATTAATACATGTGACATTATGAAATAAGCATATAAACTGATGTTTAACAGGTTGGTTTAGATTTTTTTAACATGTTAACTATCTTAGCTTAGCATGATAACATTTACTTTTAAATCTATACACAAACTACAGAGGGGAACGTTAATGCCATGACCCAAAATAGCACTAGAGGAAAAGTCGGAGGCTCACCAGTGCGATTACAAATAATCCTGAGCTGTGACATAAGTGTCTCCGTGGTTGTTGTGAGTGTCATGGTGACATTAGACAAAAAAAGGGCATCAAGTTATTAGTATTCAGGCTCTGGAGACCTTGAATGGCTGTACAAAATTTCACATTGGATTACTGAACAAGCCTATTAAACACAGGCCCAGGGGTCCAAGGATTTAAGGGGCCCCGGGGTCAGAGCCTGTATTTGAAGCGATTGTTAACATTTCTTGTAGGAAAGTCAATCAAATGACAAAACAACCAGAAAGAGGAACAAATAACAAAATGACAAAAGGATTGTGCAGAGATACAAAATGCCCACAAAGACAGAAGATTTACAAAGATGCACAAAATTACTACACACATCCAAAATGCAGAATGACCACAGAGGTGCATAACAACCACACAGTCATACAAATACTGCAAAAACACAAGATGAACTACTAAAATCCCCTGCAAAAAGGATGCAAAATGACCACAGACTCAAAGGAACTATTTAAAAAAAACAAAACCCACTACAAATGTTTGTAGTCATTTTTGCTCCATTCCGGTCTGGGGCTCCATTGTAAGAGGGGTGGGGGGCTTTTACATGTCTGTTCCCAGGGGCCCATCATCTCATAATCCATCCATGAGTGAATGTAATCGTGTTTAAAGAGAAAATCCTCACAACATCCTATACCGCTTCATCAGCAAACAGCCAAATGACTCACACAGGGATCAATTATTCTTTCAAACATGGGTTTTTATTTGATAATACTGAATATTTTGTCCTCCTGGACTTACACAAAAGCATAAAACACATGCACAGTCCTCTATTCACACAAGGTATCCACTTCTCATTTCTCTACACCTCTCCAAAAAGAATTAATCTCTCACTCTCACGTTACTCCAGCGCAAGAGGACCTTCTCAGCTTGACACTACAACTAAAGATGTTGTAGACAAAGACAGCGAAAACACACAAAAATCAAGACAGGTATAATAATAACACTGGAAAAACACAAAGTAATGGAAAATGGAAAGAGTTTACTTTTAAATTATGCCTCTAATACTCCATCATATATATATTTCTTGTTAATGTAGCTTGAGGTTTATAAAACAGCACTGTAAACTTTGATTGTTTACCAAGACAGTGATAAAGCTTTCATTAATAACTGGAAGAAGCAGGAAAGACGAGTCAAAGCTGACATTAAGCATCTTATTACTCAAGAAATGAACCATGTGCGACATTATACCGGCAAATGGTGAAACTGCTGTTTGCATTTACAATCAACAGATAATACAGAGACGCTGAAACAACACCCCACGAGCTTGTTTCGTTTCTCGTTCACACAAACTCTGCAAAAAGATCCCTTGTGTCCGAACCCCTCAGACACTACTTTCTTTGATTTTCTTTCACTGCAAATACTATTTTATCTGTGGTAACAAAGACTTCAAGAATAACTTTGTGAATATGGATCACCAAAAACACTTAAAATCTGCACCTGAGGTGGATCTGTCAGTCTGGGCACACAATAATAACTCTCACATCAGAGTGTCAAGACTCTCGTCTTTACTGGAACTCATCCTCCAAAAGTGCAAATCTAGATCTAATGCAGTAAATAATAATCATCAAGTAACGACAAATGTATATGCATAGGTACTGTACAGCTACATATGCGGGGATAGATGAAAGAGGTGAAGATTTGAAGAAGAAATGAGGAGGAAGAGGGAGACATCTGGCATATTTCTGATTGGACTGTGGGGCAGTGAAGGTGTTTCACCTCAAGAGCAGATTTAAATTGAGAGCGCTCATCTTCACACAGCATAGACTGGTCCAGTGAGGCCTGTTACAGTCGCAGGCTGCTGTTAAAATCACTACAAGAAAAGATTTTCACCTAATAAAACCAGAAACCATGCAAAACGTTAAAGAAACACTAAAGTCTGACGTTAGCAGTGGCCAAACAGTTCCTTGCAGAGTAGAAGAAACTGTTCGGGGAGAGGGAGACAATCATTTAACAAAAGGCAACTTGGAATTTGGCTTTGGACTAAAAAGCAGAACGAGGTAATAAAAGCAGAAACACGATGGGTAATGAATGACCGCCTGTAGATCGTGGATTGTAATTTGTGTAGTCATAGCTGTTACAAAGTTCTGTGGGGCAGGAAGCGTTCTGTCTCAACGAGGATTTATATCCTCCTGACGCCAGCCTCAGGAGGAAGTTACATCATCACTTGACCAGTCTATGTCTCATGATGCTTTTCTATTTGTTTTTACAGAGGCGCTGTGTCTGAAAACAATCGTTCTGACTCTGAGCCTCTTCAGAGTCAGTTAATGTTGAGCACTGTTGAGGCTGAAAGTGACCTCATGTTGTCAATACCAACTGATTACAAAATAAAGAGAGGCTAAAGACTGTTTCCAGACCAGAGGGTAATTTCAGTCATATTAACTTTGCCTTTTTAATCTCTTTGCCTGATGTTGTTAAATTTAATTTCAATGGAACTGTTTACATTAATCTTTGTCAGGTGTGCCACGTGACTAAGGGTCCTCAGCATCCAGGAACTCCTTCTTGGGTGGTGCGACACCACGGTACCAAGAGCAGGAGCCGTCTGCCCTCTTGACGCAGGCGTAGTGATTGGCCTGACGTCCGTGCACCTGCTTCTCGATCATCAGGTCCGTCCACAGACACTCTTCAGGAGCTGAGATCTCACAGGGCAGAGATGGACAGCGCACAATCTGCAGAAACACACAAAACAGTCTCCCTGTACTGTGTGCTTAAAGTCAAGTTGTGATACCAACCAACTGCACCTGCTGTTACCACTACTAACCACAGGTGGCGCCAAATCAATCGGGACTGAAATTCAAGAATTATACATAAAATTAAGGACAGTGTTATTTTAGCATAATAGACTGTGCAAATGTAACAAACCTACAGCACCTCTTAAGTTTGCTAATTAACACATTATACCTCATTTGTGTGTCATTACAAAAAACTAACAGAAGTGTAATATTTTATAATATGTCATAACAACATGTTGCAATTTCATCCTGGGATCACTGATTACTTATTTACTGAATAAAGAAAAATATATTAGTTTGTTGATGTTAGGGCTCCTGTCTCATCTCAGTTGGTCTGTGATGTATGGTTTTGTACACCACGAGGGGAATAACTGCTACTCCATGAGATAAACCGTACAATCAGACCGCCCTCCTACCTTGCATTCACAGCCCATCTGGTAGCGTTGACTGAGGCTCTTCTTCTGGGTGGTGCTCAAGGAGTCCCAGGGCATAATGTAGTCACACAGGGTCACATGCATGCGCCCGTTGGCCTCGGCCTTGCCTGTACAGGAGTTGGACATATCAGCAATAACATTCAGATAGGACATCGTACAGTAAATGCAGAAAACACCAACACTCAACTTTTGGTACATCAATATAAATGTTCTCCTTGCACAGAAGGAACATCAGATACCAGATCCATGATAAAACTGATAATCTGTTACTGTCAGACTGGTGCCTGCGGGCAGGAAACAGACCACCTGTCCTTGTGACAAGCTGGAATTTGCATGCCTCACATGAGTGGCACCAGTCAAAACATGAAGATATTCCAAGGTGAGTTTACAGATCTGCTGAGGATGTGTTCTCTTCTCTATCTCTCTGCAGAGCAACTCTCAACATGTTGAGGTCTTCACATGCCCTCGCAGATGGGACTGACTCACAACTCACTGTAACTTCTCCAACTGTTAGCCCTTCAAACTTAAGAAAGGATGAATCATTTTAAAAGAAGAAAGTTAATTGCTTTCCCACTGCTCACGTCCTACATCTTGAGAAAAAAAAAGTGAGAGAGAAAGAAAATGCTGGATTCAGCAATTCTTCCTCCTACAACTCTATGTAATTAGGGGTGAGTGTTTGCGGGTACATCTCTGTCTATGATGAGGAAACCAGAGCATGACATCATGATCCTCTGCATCTCTTCTACTCACTGTGCTGTCTCATTCTACTGCTGACTGCTTTCAATCACCTGCCAGATTTATCATGCTAAGCTTAAAGGAATACAGACAGGTGACAAATGAAAAGAAAACCCAAAATAAAGTGTCTCAGGAAGGTGCTGGGCCATTAGAACAGCTTCAGTGCAACTTGGAATTGACTCTACAAGTCTTTGAACTCTACCTGAGGGATGACCACTATTCCTCCAAAAGATGATGGTGGTGGACATGCTGCCTAACACATCGCTCCAAAATCTCCTGTAGCATACGATTCACATCATGTTCATTCTCATCACACCAGTTAGAGAGCCCTTGTGCCCTATAGATGGAGGCACTCTCATCCTGGAAGAGGCCACTCATTTATTCATGTTCTCCTTTGTCACCTGACTGAAGTTTGACATTTTGGGAAATATGGTTATTCACTCTCTGGTAAAGACGTGGATGAAAAGAAGATTGAAGCCATTCTCCAAACTGTCTGTTAAAGGCTCCAGCCAGCACTCAATTAGCATAGCTTAGCATAATGATAGAGAAACAGCTGTCCTGCTCTGTCCAGTAGTTACAAAATCTCCCTGTCAGCACCTGTTCCAGTCTTCAGGCTAATCTAAGCTAGCCGTCTCCTGGCTGTAGCTTCGTATTTAACAGGCAGATATGTGGTCGAATTCTTGGCAAGAAAGCAAATAAGCTAATTTCCCACAATGTTGAGTTTTTGCTTTATAGCTGCACAGATCTGCTTGTTTACACATCCAGCATTTATGGAGAAACATTAGCATTCATTTTGGAGTGACATTTATTAAATACTATCTTTTAGCTCTGGTTTTGATGTCTTCCACTTCCTGAGCAAACAGCTGCCTGCTGTGGTCAAAAACAAGGCTATGAGAGCAATGAGAATGAACAAAACAGAAAAGCTGCAGCCCAGAAAACCAAAACAATGAGCTGAAATATGTTAAAATGCTCTGCAGAGCCAAAGGTGCAGCGCTGTAGAAACGATTCAACGGTGATCCATTGTTAATATAAAAAAAAAAAAAGATGCAGCCTTGGTGATGAATATTGTGTCTGTGTAAATGTGAACACAAGGTCACAGACAGCCTCTGAGTCATAACTAGGAAACGTGCCCTTCGGGGTGTTATCTTTTAGAGTGAAACACTTTATTTGAATTTCATCTCATCCCAAGGAGACAGGACAAGATGTTCAGTATGTATACAACTCTCTGGAGCGAGACGACAGACAAGGTGACTCCCAGTCTCCACAGGGTTTAGTTGGCAGCGTATCATTACCCATAATAGCATAAACAGTCACTCCCCCGCTAGTTTTTATCTAACCTCATGTTTGTCTGCCCAGCTGTTTACACCTGGAAGTCTGTATCTGATTATCTGCTGCCTGTTTGTCTTTTGGTTCTTATGTTGAATGTTAGTTTGTGCCCTTAGTTTTTTTCCAAGTTACTTTACTTGAAAACACACAATATCCTTCTTCTTATTTACATGACATCTGCTAAAGAGAAAGTAATCACTGTATGTGTATTATGTACATTTAACCAATTTGAAATACAAAGCATCCAGATTTCACTGCACATCACTCCTGATTAGCTTCTTTTTTAGCTTTAAAGCTGTTAAAATCTCAAATGTTTTTCATTTTATTTCAAAATGAAAACTTGACCAGAATCATTTTTAATCAACCTTCTCAAATAAGACTACAACCCAAAATGTTGAACTATTCCTTTAAATGTTAGCATGGCTCAACAACTGTGACTTGACACAGAGATATTTTCAGATCTATGTTGCGATCAGTTAGGTGACCAATGGGACTCTAGATCTAGAAACTTTCTTAGATAAATTCTTAAAAGTGATACAGACCTGCGATCAAGTACTCCTTCTTTCCAGTGGCATCCAGGGTAACACCACAGACAGCCGACGTAGGAGCGGTGAAGACAGCCTCGATGTCCTGGTTGGGCCCCTTGAACATCTGGAACAATGGCACACAGACAGCATTAAAGGGCACCGCACACAGGAGGTGTGTGACATGCGTCAAAACACCTGCACCTAATATTTTCAGTAGAATTCAGTGTATTCTCACCTTAACTTGTTTGATCTCATACTGGATCCTCTTGATGGGGTTCCCATAGATATCATTCCCAGAATCCACCTCTCTCTCTCCCACCACCTTTGCTCGAATCACTGTTGGGGAAACAGAGGAACACAGTGTCAGCAACTAACTGGTATTTTAATTTATAAATACATCTGTTTTTATTTCTTAACAATTAGTTTATAAAGTGTTGGAAAATTGTGAAACATTATTCATTCAAGTTTCTCAGTGTCCAAGGCCACATTTTCAGTCTAAACCCCAAAATATTCAATTTGCAATATTAAACTGTGAAAAGCAGGAAATCTTTAATCTGAGGTTTAAACAGTAAATGACCTAATTCATCGATTGATAAAAACATTATTGCCAAATGTTTTGACACTTTTTTGGTAATTTGTTTAATCAACTAATTGTTGCAACAAAGATTTGCCAGGCTTGAACTAAAGAGCATTTTCATGATTAAGCTACAAATATTTACTTGTCTGCTATATAAAATATCAGGTAACAGTGAAAAATGTTCAACAATTTCACAAATTCCAATGTTTTTATTTTAGAATTGTGGATAATCAGCTTAGAGTTTCTGCTCTAAAGATACGATAATAGCATCATGACATGATTCAGCTGAAAGCTGATAATACTGAATCATCGCCCAAGCCCCAGACTGTTATCCACCACACCCCAGTCTAACACAAGGACAGATGGACAACAGCCAGAACATTCCCCACAGCTTCCTGAAATCTCAAGTGCGCACACCACAATAAGGCACAGCACTGGGAACAATCTGAGCAGCTATGGAAGTCCGGTCAATGGACCCAGCTTTGGTTCAGTCTGACCACTCATCAGTGGAGCAGTGAACACTACCAGCACCAAACAGCAGACAGACATGGCTAGCGACTAGCTGGTGAACTCAGAAGAGCTTTTAGCAGTTAAACAGCCTGATGTTTTCCTCTAGAGCTGAGTTAAGACAGAGCCAAGAGCCAGGAACAGGACTTCAAACTAATGCTAATGTTGCTCGAGGCAACATCCTACCTCAACACGTTAATTAATTCAAACGGTTTGCCAGACAGATTACATATTCAAAACTTGAATATGAGGTCCCTGACTGTTTGATTCATTGCTAATAAAAGAGATGGAGTTGGTGACTCTGAAGAACAAAGTCAGCCTCTGTTATCAACTTGGGGGTGGATACAAAATGGAACCATTACCAGCACTGATAAATGTCCTTATGAAGTCATTTACCAGTGCTTCAGAGAAACCGATCCAATCCCAACCTCTGCATTTACAACCTCTCTGATGCTTATGCAAATATGCAGCTGCCAAAGTACACAGGTAAACACACATGCAGCAGTATACCTGGCTGGCGCTCTCTCCTGCATTCCTCAGTCTTTCCGCTCTCATTTCCTGACCTCATTCTGTGCCACAAGCTAATGAGTGAAGGATCAGCAGCAGGACACAACACTGAGGGGCAATTACCCTGTTTATTCACAATGAGTTGGTATTATGGGAATGTATCTGTCTACCTCAGTGTTGTAGACATGTTTGCATCACAGTTTGCCCCTGTAATGAAGACAGAGGGGATGATCCTGTGTAGTCTAAACAGTGTGTTGCAGAGGCAGCAGACTACCCAGTGTGTCGGTAAAACAGCATGACTGTTGGGGGGTCTGCAGGGAGCCAAGTTTGCCCGCAGATTGATCACAAAGTCATCTGCATAAGCATAAACCACCAAGTGACGCACATTTCTGCTCCTCTGCTGTCTGGACCAGCACGAAGCTTAATGACTTGCACATACATATCAGTTGCACTATGCAATGTTTTCCATTCAAACCCCCTATGAACACACACACCATATCCTAAGTGCTCCCCATTCAATGCACCGCATGACTATCCATTTCTTTTTTCATACTCCAGTGACCACTCAATCATCCATGGTGTGGTTTGTTCAGCTCCAGACATATGTGGGCCTTCTGTCTAACCTGTCATTTGGCCAGAGACAAACTGTCTTCAAACAAAATTCAGCTGGCACTTTGGACATCCAGCAACCTCTGTATGAAGATGTGCAGCAAAGAACAAGACTCTGGTTTCCTTTGTGAGGTTTGATAGCAAACCTGGAGAAAAGACCAGCAACCAAGGTGATGAAAAGCTTGCATATTAGAGTCTAATCCAAAATACATGACAGTAGTTGTGACAAGTAGAATGTGTTGGCAGACAAGAAATATGGAAACACCTTTGGTTATACTTTAACTCTCCTGTTTGCTGTGGTTTGGTCTCTGCTAACATCTGAGCAATAATATCTGACTCTTTAGCTGCTAAATGCTCCACTGTGTCCAGCAGCTAGTTGCTAATAATGTCATCTGTGGAGCAGGTACTGTACCAAGTATTTTTAGAGCCTTTTTGAAAACAAAGCTGATGAGAGCAGCAAGAGTAAACCAGAACAGTAAAGCTGTGGCCTTGGAAACAAAAACAATGAACTGAGCTGAGGAGAACTGCAGCTGGTTTATAATTATCAGTGGATTTGTGGCTGACCTCCTCTACCAACCAGTTATTTGAGCCATTGTGTATATACATACATTAGTGAGTGCAGCTTTAATTTCCTGAGGTCTAAAAATCATTTTTTACTGCTACCTCTGACAATAAAGTTTTGCTTTGTGACAACTCTTTATGAACTATATCCAAAGGATTGACACCTAAAGTTTGCTTATAAACAACTTACACACAACTATTGGCTGATAAACTTAAGAATCAGTTTAGGTTTCCAGCAGACTCTTGTAAATATCAGATTCAAAGACAGTCTGATTTATTATTTTCAACAGAACAACTTGAGATCACAAGATTTTTGCTTTTGAGACTTTCTCTTATGATGCATGGTGAGTACGTTTCAATAAAGACAGTGTGTCTATTCCCATGAATGTCCACTGCTGTTTTCCTGTAGACAGCCAGTCCTCCACACCGCCCAGCCTCCGGCCAGTCTGACTGGGCAGGGCTGAGGGGAAGTTCCCATTTGTGGGCAACAGATTTATATGAAAAGAGGATGTTTGTCTTCGTACATGTTTGTGTGTGTGAGACTGTGGTGAACGCATGACACTGCTCAGTTTTCATGGCCCGTGGTCTGACCTAGAGCATGAAAAACAAAAGGTGACACACATGCATGCTTCTGGTTTTTGCATGTACAGTATGTGTGTGAACCCATTTCACCAACACAAATCTCAGCTGTCATACCCACATAACTGTTGACAATGCCATTTCATTGTTGCCTACAGGCACATTCTGGGCAACCAGACAACAGCTCTGTTCTCACTCTCTGCTCCTCCAAACACAGTGCCGCCTTTACATCTTCCTCTGCAATGTCCTATCTGGATGTTTATCCCAGAATATTAGTGTTTTCAGAGCCACCAAAGCCACTTTTTCCTCAGATCCACCTTGAAATCATCACCAAACAATGGCATTGACCACTGTTGTTCTTAGTGGTCTGCGCAGCCTTTTCATGACACATCCTTCCCCCACAGAGAGCTGACAAAACCTTTACTGACTCCTACACATTTTGAAAACAGTATGAGCACACCAAACACAAACACACTTCTACAAGTGACATCCTGTCTCCAAGACCTGCTAGCCCAGCCAGAGATTGAGTAACACCTGAAAATAGAGCTGTCATTTTGCAATATGAAATTAGATGGGTATAAATCTTACCCACAAACACACACTTGTGAATAAGGAGTCAAAAGGAGGACAGAGACTTAAGTTATTCAATGATAACATGCATGTTTTAACGTTGACTGTGACTTTTACTGCCATTTAAGCCTTGAACTGACAGCCAGCTGTCATGGGTATGAGAGAGTGAGCACCGTGCATGGCAAAACGCATGCAGTGTGTGTGTGTGTGTGCGCGCGCGCGCGAGTGTGTCCCTGTGTTACACCGGAGCAAAGTCGGGAAAACCCCAGCAGCATTCCTGTAATTCCTCCCAGCACCACCCCTCAGAAGAAACAGGGCAGGAATGGGAAATTTAAGAGTAAAACTCGCGGCGTGACATATTCTGTGGTCGAGATTCAATCCCCGTGTCTTCCTCTCGCTTTCCCTCCTTGTCTCTTTTTCTCGCTTGTGCCACGTTGCCCTACAAAAATCAGGAGATGCTGCTACTGAGGGTGAAGAAGGACACCCACACACCCACACACACACACACACACACACACACACACACAATGACAGTACCACACGCCTTCCTGTGTATTACACTGACCTACACAGTAATAGTGCACTTACACCCTAGGAGATAATTGTTCTCTTATTGTGGATTTTAGAGGAATAATACATCCGAGGAGAGAAATTACCATAAAGTTAATTATTATCTCTTTTTTTTTATTAAAATCTATTACTTTGACATTTCAGCGGTCTGGACTTGTCAACATGACATGACAAAACAACACAATGGGATCTGCGTGTGTCTGCAAGCGTGCATTCTGATTGCAATGCAATCTGTCTGGGCGATGGCCTTGGAGAGCAACACCCTCCACCGCCAGGCTTTCCAGCGGTTTCCAGAGCCCAATCAATACGCACCAGAGTCACGCTGAGCGGCTGCAAACAGCCGCTGTAGCCCCAGGAGGCTGACGCGACATGGGCTAGGTAAACAACAACAACAACAACAACAACAACAACAACAACAAGGGCTAGGTAAACAACAACAAGGGCTAGGTAAACAACAACAACAGCAGCAGCAGCAGCAGCAGTAGTAGTAGTCCCCGATGCTGTACTCACCTATATCGGCGTTGCAGAACGCCTGTTGCGGATGTACCGGGGCGCAGCTGCAGGCTTCCGTGAGCTCCTCCACCCTCCACAGGAGCAGCAGCGCCAGCGTGCAAAGGATGCCGTTAACGGAAAACGGCATTTTGGTAAACAGTGATGCGATGTTTTTCAGCCCCTTCGTTGCTGTTTGCTACGCAGATGCGTTGCAGGCTATTTCCAGCGTCCCGCTCCGCTTTGGTTTCTTTTCCCTTTTTTTACAGACAGAGACCTGGCGACGTCAACAGCACCGGACGATCTGGCCACTAGTGATGTGACGTTCCGTATCGAGGCTTCGAAGTGTGTGCCGAGTAGGGGAGGGGGCGTTTCCGCGATGAGCTTTTCGAGGCTTGCGTCATTTAGGGGAGGAGCTGAAAATGATGACGTCCGAAGCCGCGCTACCCGGCTGTACCACGTGACTGATTCAGGAAGTGGTTCGGATTTTCATTAAAAAATAAAAGAAATCGGCTAAGACCT